TTGAAGAGGAATTGTAGGAGGATGTGAGCAAATTTTGTTCTCCCTGGCGTTTCTTCCCTTTCTTGGGCTTAGCCTTAAAGGGCGCAATGTGGCTCGGGGGGCCACTCTGAGAAAAGTCATCTAGGACTAAGCCTAAACAGCAGGGACGAACTCCGGAGAATACGAAAATTGCTTCCGTACACCGGAGTTCCTCTCCTCTTCAAAAGCTTAGTCCTAAAACGGAGCGTTTCCGTGATTTTGACGCGATGTTGCGAGGTGCCCCCCCCCTTGCGCCCCTTGATGACACCCACCATAGGCCCTTTTTAAGTGTCCTCCCCACGGCCATGAGCGGACTACTTGATTTTTCCTCAATGGTCCTGCCGCGATGGCTAGAGCACAGACGATTAGAGAACGGGTGAATGCCCTAGGACTAAGCCTTGGAGAGGAGAGGGACCCGCGAGAGAGCGCAGAGGCGGTTTAAAGGGCTGAGTTCAAGTAGTCCGTCGACCGTGTAGGTGTAGCGGCAAATAAAGCGCTGACTGTTCGCAACTGTTTAGCGGAAAATGGTCTCATTGTCGTAAAATGAAAAAGAGGGCTGAAAGATGGGAGAAGATAAGGTGCAGGCTGTTAAATTCTGTTCAGCACTTTTTCTCCATACACTTACACTTTTATCAGTGACAGTGTGCAGGCAAGCATTATCAGTTCCTTGTAAGCTAGAACGCTTACCTTATGGTGCTCCTTTCTATCTTTGCTTCCATGTATAACATCTCATGACTGATTTAGAATATTGAATTGTGGGCGTTGTCGCAAGATGGGGTGGGGGCAACCCTCAAAGTCAAACCTCTTAGGGTAGGAGGGGAAACTGGGACAACGAGTTGCTCACAACCCCAGAATCTCTATCATCTTCCATCGAGCTTGCCTGGGAACTGAGGGTGTGTAACACAATAATATCTGTCGCAGCAATGCTATTACCCCCGCCCATCGCCTTGTGATACCGCCCTTTCGAAACGAGAAGAGTGTCGGGTGCAGACCATACACCACAAGTGACGACGGCCTCCACAAAATGTAAATGTTTTCTGCCAATGAAATGATTAGCCTGTTGCAGTTGTATTCTATCAGTTGTCACTAATTACAACTATCATTTACCAAAAATCAGCTATCACTATGAACCACTACTAACCAGATTTACTTGGAGGCCGTCGTCACTTGTGGTGTATGGTCTGCACCCGACGCTCTTCTCGTTTTTTGAAAGGGAGGGTACGTATGTTTATGCACCGCTCCCGCGGCGAGACGAGTGCTGCTTGTATCTTTGAGCAACACCGGTGAGGCGTGTGCTGCATGTATTTTTGGATAGTCACCCGCGGTAAGGGTGGCTTTGGTGACAAGACGGTTATCGCAGTCCGTGGAGTGAGCGTTCAATCTACCTAATTCATTGAAAGGGCGCGGCCACGGGTTACGGTAACAGCCGTTCCGCGGCCTTTATTATCTGTCTTGTTCGATTTTGTTGGATGTAGGCATCGGTCCCTTGCTCTAGCAGGCTACACCACAGCAATAATAGCAAACAATAAATGCCTTGGCATTGGTTGAAGCACATCCGAATAAAATGAGAGGGACTTATGTGGAGCTGATGTTTTATAAATGAAAACGACAGCGCTCCCATACAGGTGAGGGATTGATTGCAAAAAATTCAGTCGTGAAGCAGCCAAAAGGGATGGTACAGGAACGACCGTCTGTTGTGCCAGGTTTAGTCCGGGACATATTCGAGAATTTTAGGTGATAGCGAAGTTGAGAGTTCTATCGCAGTAGATTGTGAAAAGGGGGATCATTGGCGGGTTTCTTCACACCAGCTGTCTTGCTCGACGGCAAATTTGGAAGGAAGTTCGGGAGGGGTTGAAATCTGTCGCCTAGCATAATCAAATGCTATAGAAGCTATCATGGTGGTGAGGTGGGGGGGGGGGCTCTAATGCGTACCTTTCCAAGGCTGATGTGGTTGTGGGGTTGGTGTCGAGACCCGCTCAAGAGTGGGGTTATGAAAAGTTCTGCATTAGCTCAGTGGAAGGTAGACGTTGGGCTGGACATTAGAATCTATCAGGAGCAAGCTAGAAAGGGTGGAATGATCTCAAATTTTGCAAAGGTCCGCTAAAAAGTTGCATATTTTATGCATGGCCCGAAATTCGAGAGCTCGAGCTACGGGCGACGGACTTTTGGTGCGTCCGGGGTTGCACGCGGCGAATCGCGCGGCGGGCTGCGCGGCGATCCGGACGAGGCAAGTCTTCGCGGGCTCCTGCAGTGGAATTCAACACGTCAGAACGTGTGCAGATCGCGGATAGAATCCACAAGGTTCTGCTTTGAAAGCCACTCGCGGAGATCGGTGAAATGCAGCGGTGTCAGTGAGAAGATTACAGCGAAAGGAGATGAAAGAGAGAAACTTCATAGAAATGTCACTATTATCATATTATAAATATGAATAAGAAGCACTAAAAATGGAGTCATTTAGTGAGATGTTATTTATTGTCAACTCTATATCTTTGCTAATCGCGGCGCTCCTGTCCTTGGGGAGAACTTTCAAAACAGGGCCAATGGAAGGTTACACTAGAACTAAGCTCATGAGAAGGGAAATACGGCTGCTTCAATCCTTTCACGAGAACTCTTCTGCCTCAGGCTTTAGTCTCAAAGCAAAAAATTGTTGAATGCACTCGTTCTCGTGTTGGATTCCACCGCAGAAGCCCGCGAAGACTTGCCTCGTCCGGATCGCCGCGCAGCCCGCCGCGCGATTCGCCGCGTGCAACCCCGGACGCACCAAAAGTCCCGCACCCCTAGCGTACCCAACTTCTTCCTAAGTTTGTAGTTGTTTATTTCCCGCACCTTTCCTTTCGTTCTAGAAAGGCTCATTTCGTTCGTTTAGGGAATGTCTATATGAGGAGAGCCTTTACCCCTCCTGGATCTAAATCTGAACTATGGGTAGGTGCACCGCTCTACTCTTACTCAGCTTCAAAACTAGTGGTTTTAGTGATTTTGTTGGGATAAGCATGCTCATTGCAAGAAGAAGTTACTTTAGTTGTCTGAGGATGGTACGTAAAGCTTTCTGCTGCAAAAGAATGGATTTCCCAAGATTCTATTAATTTTTCGCTCCATTCTCGAGTTTTCCCCCTTCAGAAGTGGGCTACTTGATGAGTGAAGTGTGTTGGATGTTGATACTGTTATCATTCCCAATCGTTTCTCATTTTGAAAGTGCATTTCTTTCCGAGCTGCCGTATTTTCTGATTTCTCTATCTGATGCTTTATCAATCAAACCGTATGTTTATTGGCATAACGTAATCCAGCAAAC